AACTCGGGTATAACTCCATACACTTCCAGAGATAATTGGCTTTAAAAGTTCCCATCTACTTTTTCTGCCTTCTCAGCTGTGCTGATGCAACAAGCATAAGGCCTTGCAGTAAATTAGATCACTGGAATAACTGCAGCCATCACAAAGTCCATAAATACAATTAAGGATGCAACCAACAACAGCAAGAACATTGTCTTCCAGATTTCTCTCAAACTTTACCACTGAATAGCTCCAGCAGTTCTTCTGTGGCCTTCTGTGCACTAGCAAGACTAATCTGCTTTATAAAGACAGAGTTAAAATTGCTGAGCATGACTCTTTCACATAAAAAAAGGACAAAACAGACAACAGTTCCTCCCTTATGCTTAAAAACTACCATCACAGAGAGTAAATCAGATCTGGCAGGGATGTCAGATCCAAATTACTGTGTATTCTACAATTTGCTCTTTGCCTGACTGTTAACAGCTTCCAGCCCTTACAGAAATACTTTCCTTTTCAGTAGCAAAGAGACATGCAACATCAAGGCTTTCTATTAGTGCAGCCCCACAGAAATAACAGAAATCCATACTGCATACATAAGTTTAGATCACCTCTTCAGATCTCAGTAACCCCAGAGGAGCAGCAGGACCTGCAAGATGACAGGCAAGCATATTTAAAATAAGATTTAAAAACAAAACAAAACAAAACAAAAACAGAAAGTGAAGAATAAATAGCATCAGCACCTGAGAGAGCAAATAACCCTGATATCATCCATTTTCCTGTCTCTAACAGCTATGAGATTGTCTGCAGTTTCGAAGCAAGAGATTTAAATCTTCCTACCAGAACTACTACCACTATTAAATGTAACTGGGAATACTTTTATTATTCATACACATATACAGCAAGCTCACATCCAGTTACATCCCAAAACACTGAATTTTAGGAAGTACTTTCAGTAATTCTGCTTTTGATGCCCTTCCATTTCACCGAACTTCTTGTTCATGAAGTCAGTCATCCTAACTGACCTATCATCATCAGGCTCTTGTTTCACAAACTGCTACACTGTTCCTTTTTACTCTTGTTTTTAAAAATAAATAACCACAGCTTTCTTTCAGGATTTTTTTTAAAGTTAAATACTTCATATACAAGGATTCTTACAAGGATTCTTTCAAGGATTTCACGGTTACTTATTCTTCAAAGGCTCCTCGTGAAGGAAGCAAATGCATGTATCAGACGTGCAGTCACAAAGTCGAACAAGAGAAATGGAGGTAAATGGCACTAAAGGGGCGTTAGGAAAGCACCCCTCACCAGAATCCTTTGGCAGTATTCTGTTTCCTTAATTCACAGCCGCTCGTTGTAGACTATATTTAGCAGTTTGATGCTTCTGGCTTTCGTCCCGAGAAGTGCCAGCTACCACGGGCACATGTCACCACTTTTGAGCAGCACTTCTGCTCCGTTCAGGCCCAAGGGGCATCAGAGGACACTCTGGGGCAGCCCGGGTCATCTTCCCAGCACACACACACTGCTCAAGGTCAGCTCCGCGCTCACTGCCGCCGCTGATGGGAATCCCTTATTGAACCACCTGCCTCGGCAGCCCCGACGCCAGGCACACAGCACAGAAACGGCGGCTGTGTAAGAACTAACTTGGCTGAGCAGAGCGATGCCCACTGGCAGGGGCTGAGTCTCTGTGCGTGAGACGTTTTGGAAGGGAACACCGAGCCAAGACTCTGCCCTTCATCTCACACGGCACCCAGTAACGTAAGAGCAAGCAGGGCCCATACCACAGCCGGGACAGCCGTGGGCCCAAGCGGCTACCGGCAGCCTCCGTGCTGCTCGGGGCCGAGCACTGCGGGGCCGAGCACTGCGGGGAGGAGCCCCGCGGCACCGCGCCCGGCACGGGGAGAAGGCCGAGGGGAGCCGGGGACGTGTGTCGGCGGGGTGGTTACCTGAGCCGTGCAGCGCCCGCACCTCCAGGCGGCCGGGCCGAGCCGCGGCCGCTCCGCCGGCCAGCATCTGCCGCAGGAGCAGGCGGACCCTGCGCGCAGCCGGAGCCCCGGCCCCGCCGCCCAGGCACAGAACCCGCGACTGCATGGCCGCGGGCAGCGCCGGGCCGAGGCGGGGAAGGGAAGCGCCGCCGTACAAAGTCCCACCGGAAACTGCAGCCGGGCCGGGCGGCGGCCGGGGCGGGCAGAGCCTGCGGGAGCTGAGCGGATGGGAGCTCCGCGATCGTCGTCCTTCCTCTCCTCTCAGCACGGCTGAGGCTGGCAGGACCTCTGGGTCCCTCTGCCCCAGCAAGGACACCCAGAGCAGGGTGCCCAGGGCCACGTCCAGGCAGCTCTGGGAGATCCCAAGGAGGAGACCCCACAGCCTCTGGGCAGCCTGTGCCAGTGCTTTGTCACTGCACAGCACAGAAGGGCTCCTGGTGTTCAGAGGGAACCTCCTGTGCTCCAGTTTGTGCCCATGGCCTCTGGTCCTGGCACCGGGCATCACTGACAGAGCCTGGCTGCAGCCTCTTGGCGCCTTCCCTTCAGACATTTATGGGCACTGATGAGACCCCCCTGAACCTCCTCTTCTCCGGCCAATCTGCCCTGGCTCACTCAGCCTCTCCTCATATTTGAGGTGTATTCACTTCTCCGTTTCCCATTGGAAAGGAACTTCTTTTAAGAGGCCTAAATCTGCCCGTGTGTAAAAACTCAGAACACAGAACTACAGTCCATAAAACACTGGAAGTGGCCAGTCTTAGGACGTAATCTATGTTTCTGCTTCTGACCATGTCTTACTGTTTCACAGAAGAACAGTTTAAAGTTTGAAGCTTTTAAGCAGGAAAAGTGGGAATTTATGTGATAAAAGGGGTAAAAAAAAAACCAAAAAAACAACCCTCCAAACGTATTGCCATATCAGCTGGCAGGTTTAAGTTCAGTAAGGATGGTTGGAGTGCTGTCTGTAAGAAAGACACAATTTTTATATGAAAGTGACTGAACCCTGCGACTGGAGAAGCTTAAAACATCACAGAAAACAAAGTATGGGCAGCATCTGCTGAAGTAAATTTACATGTAATAGATATTTTCTAATTTTAACTTCTTAAATTCTGTCACAGCATGCTATATTAATATGCTCTGTCGTCCCAGAACCACATATTTGATATATTAGTAGAAAAAAAAAAATCATATTATTTTTAATTTTATCATTTAAGAGTTTAAACCAAGACAAATTCCTAGAAAGTGATATTTTACACACAGCTTAGGTTTCAGATTTTCATAACGTGTTATGAAAATATAGATCAAATTATTCTTATTTTAACTGAAGTTACGAGTTGAATATATTTAAAAGATTGAGAGTAAAATAGAGTAATTCATTAAAGCCTGAAACTTTCATTAGGCTCCAGTGTCAACAAAAAATATGACTACTTTCAAGGAAATCCACTTGAGTCTTAGATCTTGGCGCTAATAAGAAAGAAGATAGATAGTGAGGGAAGCCAAGCAAAGGTTGAATCCGGAGTCAAATCACCAGCTTTTTTATCTGTATCTCAATTTTTAGATATCTTGGATTTATTTCTCCAATAAATTTCCATTTCTTGCCTGTTTTAAGCATTTAACAGTTATCCCAAAGACGACTGCTGAAGAATAACTTGATAATCTGTTTAAACATAGACAAGTTAGACTTCTAAGCCCTGAAAAATGATGTTCTGGGTTACCAGTACTTAGTCCTATACACATTTCTGCAGCTCAACATTATGCTCTAAACACTTGATGAGTGTGATGAATGATGAGATGTAATGATCTTCAGTGTTTCCCATTGGCTAGCATGTTGTCTGTGTATTAATTCTTTTCTTAGTACCTAATGTAGGTTTTTGAACCTCCTTTCTGGGTCTAAGACATTCTAAACTAAATTGAAGCCTCCTTTTATAGACATTGCCCTAATTTCTTGCAAACTGAAATCTTGAATGCTGAAGGCCAGAGATAGCATCTGAAGTACTGTGTTCAGCTCTGGGCCCACCAGGACAAGAGAGATGAACACGTATGGGAAGGAGTCCAGTAGAGGGCCACAAAGATGATGAAGGGCCTGGAGCACCTCTTCTGAGGGGAGAGGCTGGTAGAGCCCAGCCTGCTCAGCTGGAGGAGTCTCAGGGGGATCTCATCAATGTCCTTTGTTTTGTGTTTTGTTTTGTTTTTTTTTTACACTAAGAGTGATGAGGCACTGGCACAGGTTACCCAGAGAGGTGGTGGATGCCCCATCCCTGAAGACACTCAAGGCCAGGCCAGACAGGGCTCTGAGCAACCTGACTGGCTGTAGGTGTCTCTGTTCATTGCAGGAGAATTCAACTAGGTGACCCTTAAGGGTCCTTTCCAACTCAATTCTATGAAACAATAAGATTTCTCCAGATTTTTTTCAGGTACTTTCAGCCTTTTTTAAAATCCTCACCGTATTTGTACATATATACACCTGTCAAGCTAAATGCTTTAAATTTCAGCTCTTTCTAAGTCATATATCTATAAAATGTTTTGCCTTTTAAAACATTATCTTAAAATTCTAAATTAGTCAGCTTTTCCAAAACTTTAAATTCAGCTTTAAGTACAGCTTCAAATTTCCATTTCTAGCATAAGAAAAGTATTTTTACCGATTGTCAAGCTATTGCTGAAAAAGTTATAATGGGAACATTGTCATCTCTCTGCATAATTATGAGCAGACATTTTATTGAATATATGTGTGTATGTATGTATATATATATACACATATACACGCAAGCAATCAGATGTGTAACTTGAATGTTGCATTGTTTTTATATTGTCAGTTATTAACCACTAAAAAATTAGTACAATTTAATAAAATGAGACTACAAAACCTACCTTTTCTTGTATGTATATGTCCACATATGAAATTTTATCTAGCTCCACAATGTTGCATTATTGCTTGTACATAGCATCTGCTTCACTTGCAAACCACAACTGAAAGTTCTGTGCAAGTGTATATGCTTTACATACATGGTACTTGCTCCCTCCTTTTTATTGAAGGCATGATTCCATAAGTAGTTGAGTCCTGTCATGAAGTGGAAGGATTTAGCAGTCTGCATCTGGTGTGCTGGCAAGGCTTTCCCAGATGATTTACAACACTGGTAACAAACAGCTAGTTCATATTTTCATTCCCTGGCTTAACAGCATTCTTATTTGGAACGTGAAGTTTCTGAACAAAAATACTTTTCCTTTGATTAAACAGAAAAGAACTTATTCCAAGGAGTGAGAGCTCAGAAAGTATCTCTACGAGTTGACAGCTTCCAGACTCTTCTCTGTAGTAGCTGTCATCTACTTTGGTGCAGATCTCTAGCTGCAAGACAAAATTAGACACAGGTGCAGACTATAAAGAACAATGCATCATCTTTTCCTACTTATAGTCACTTCTCCTACACAGTGGGATAGAAGACAAGTGAGATGAAATCCTGGTTTTCTCTGAAGTTTGTAGGAAATCTTTTGAAGGTAGTGAGGCCTGATTTTTACCTAAGTGATATGGATGAACCGAAAGAACATGAGTAAGTCAATCGGTTTTCATTTATTGTTACCTCTTTGTCTAGAATGTAGGTCTGTCATTAAACTCCTTGAAAACTATGGCCAGAAAGAGGCAAAGAAAGAAGTCTATTAGAGTCCACACCATTCTCTAGTGCTGTGGGTTCCATCTGGTAATGCTAAGAGAGAGGCAAACCATAGAGACAGGCCTTGCTCACCAATAATTCTTATTCCCTAGCTCAAGAAATTACCTTGTATCTCTTTTTAGTCAGGCAGAATTTGTTTCCTTAGTTTAAAACTTGTAGTTGTTTTTCCAAGCTGTGTTCAGTCATTGCTGGCTTGTGTTAGATAACAGATAGAGAGGCTGGCTTGTTTTCTTTTGGCTTATATGAGTTTTGAACAAATTTAAGTACTGATTTCCGTGGAGCCACTTTAATTTACAATAGCGAGAGTATTTCTAATACCAGAAGGTGCTTCTCTTGTATGGAATCAATTTGGAACAATATAAATCAAATCAAAGCTGTAGTGCACAGCTGTTCCTGTGCACTGTGTTGACTTCAACCCTAAATTTGTCCTCTGTTTTAACCTTAGTTGGTTTTAAGAATGGATCAACATTGAGATAGTAAGACACTATTGTAAACTCTCTTCTTATCTCCTGATTCTTGCTAAACTGGCTTTCACTGGCAATTTCTCTCTTGCATTTCTTGATTATTAGTACATTAACCTTTTTCTTCTGCACTATTATAAAATAGGCATGAGTGAAAGCTAGGAAAGCTAGGTTATGTACTACTACAAATAGTGTTTATAACAGATTTTCCACTGACGAAGAATGCATAATTACCACCTCTTCAGTTAAGTGTTGAAAGATTTTTGCTCTCTGTTTGTATGACAACATCTTTCAAGAAATTAACATTCACTCCACTGGCTCTCTCAGTATCTGTTCAGAGCCATCTCTTCGTGCGTTATGCTATGCAGTTTGTACTGCTACTGAACTACAATCAGTAAGGAGAAGGGCATTATTAATTTCTTTTTCTTTTTGTTTTGTAAGACATTGAGGTGAGGAGCTTCTTGCCATCTGATTGCTCACTAGAACACCTGAGGTTGACCTAGCGGCCTCAAGATACTTAGAAGTACATTCCTCAAAGAACATTACTGCAGTCATAAAACCTGTTCATATTTTTAAAAGCAACAAAGAAGGTAAGAAAAGCAAGTACCATGTTGAATGGTACTGCATATACATCCATATATGTGTACTGTACAAATGCTCAGAGGATGAAGGCCGTAAGTGAAGGCATCTGTAATTTCTTATGCCAAACTCCATCTGTTTTCAGTAGTTTGTAACTCCACCATTCTTTAATAATTTGCACAGAAATTTCTCATACTGAATTTCTGCCTCAGGCTGAAGACTTCTTTTGAAAATTTGAACAAAAATAGCTTAGCCACTTTTCAGAAAAGAAAAAAAAAACATTTTTCTCAATAGCAGCTGTAACCCCTATATTACTGGGAAGGCTATACGACTCAGCAGCCCCATCACTTGAGGGAAACGCATACAACCTTTCCTGATCCTATTAAAGGGCAAGGAACAGACTAGGAAGGAATAAAATCTCTATCCTAGCTGATAAATCTGCATCTGGTTTTACCTATGTGAAAATACCTCTTATACTAAAAGCTTCACTATTTCTGTGCTTTAGAAAAGAGATTAGAGTTTTGCTAAGAGAGCCATTCTGGTTTCAGAAAGCTGCTTTTGATGACCCTAGTTTTTGCTGAATCATAAGCTTCTGAAAATCAGAGAAACACACTTCATTACAGTTCAGCAATTAACTTGTCTTATTCTGTTTATAAGAAGTCATATGTAGGGTTTGACTGCATGGGTTGAGCCAGACTTACCCCTCTTACTTCTCCTTCAAAGCCAGAGAACGCTGCAGATAGAGAGATTCATATGCTTTCAGTGATCTTCCTCCTTCTCTCCCTAGGTTGGGGAAGCAGAAGGATGAGGAGCCAGGCCTGAAGGGACTGTTAAAGAGTGGTGAGTTGAGCACAAGGAACTCTAAAGGGAAAGGAATCATGTGAAAGCACTAGAAAATGTTATGTACTAGGTAGGGTGAGAGCAAAAAAGGGCATGATCTAAAGTCATGAAGGATGAGGTTAAAACAGGCTGAAAGCACACACTCTGCAGGTACTGCAGCCTTCAGTATTCTGCTGCTGATAGATATTGCACACACTCCTCAATATTTATCTGTTACTTAAAGCTTTCTCTTTGTTGGCAGTTGCAGCTAGGTGCAGATATTTTGCTGACACGTAGTATTGAAGTATATTATTGGTTACTGAAATTAAGCTACTGTTGATATGAAAGCTTTCATACAAAATTAGTGAGATGATCAGAAATCTTGTTTTCATTGTCTTCACAGATATATGTACCCTGGGAAAGTCTAGCAAGCATTACCAGTGTGTGTGTGTGTGTGAGCTGATGGAGTGAATGAGTATGTGGCACAGGGCTAACGTGGGAAAAGGTAATGACCACTTCAGAAAGAGAGAGCTGGAAGAGCCACTCATCAAGATCCTGTCTCTCCTGTTGAAGAGCAACCTAAGCGCTGACTACTACACCTCAGGGAACTCACTGATGTGTGTGTTAATCACCAACATAGGGTATCAGATCATTTGTGGCTTAATCTGTTTAGCTGCACTTGCATCAAACATATGCTTGTTGGCAAACATTTCCAATGTCCTTCCTCATGTCCTTCATGTTGCCTTCTTAACATAAACCAACTTTCGTGACAGCTGGCTTCAAACATTGGTAAAAAATATCAGCTAAATAAAGTCCACTGGTTTGTTCTTAGTATTTCAATTTGTATCTGGGAGAAGCTCCAACTTTACAGAAAGAGGGTTAGTCTGGTGGATGGGGAGTAGCTTGGTAAAATGTAGTAGTTCCCTCAGAGTGCCACCTATCCATATCCTAAAAAATTCCTAAGTCCACAGCTCAAGAGTAGACCCAAATTTTTGGCACCTTAAGAGCTAAGCAAAATATTTGATCCCAGATTACCTGAAATAAGTCTTGTTCCATTTTCATATTGAAATGATGTTTGCCTTTTTTTATTAAGTTATAAACACCTTGTTTTTTTCCAAATATTTATGTCTTGATAAATTGTATTTTGCTATCTATGAGATATTGCACAGAATAATCTGGGAAGGGTCACAGACAGCATGAGCTGCTGAGATAACATCACTAAGATAAAGGCCAAAGCTCCTGATGGCAGGATTAATCTTACCCCCTATAATTCAGCATTGTCCTTGTTCTGCTCGGGCTAATTCTGTGCATCACAAAGGTTGTTTAAATTAACCAGAATTGTGAGGCAATCTCACAGGCTCACGTTTGCCCTTAATGAACAAAAATTAGCTTTACTCTGGCTGCAGAACTTGCAACGTGACTTCAGAAGGAACTGAGGCCATTTGTGGGGGTTACACATTCCCAAAAGATATAAGTACTTTCTGCCTTATTCCCAAACCTTTGAACTCTCTGCAGGCATTATTTTCACAAAATAAGTCATCAACCTGCCTGGCTGGTCACACAGTAGAGCTGTGGGTGACACACAATGACAGATTTAGCCCTGAGCAAAGGCTGAGGTGAGCACCCAACTATTCCATTTCCACACAAATATCCTAAATCTTTGCTGGAAGGAGCTGCCAGCAAATTCCCTGCTGGCATATGTTCTGGGTCCATCCGACAGGAGGGCTTGTAATCATCTGCCTGACCTCTTGACCTTGTGAAAGTGAAAAAAATGTACAAAATTATGCCTGCTGTGCTGGCATCATCTGGGAAAAGCCTGCACATCACCATTGCATTAACACTGCATAAACACTGAATAAAAATCTTCAGACTGTGCATGCACAGAAGTACAGATTTAAAATGGCTCCGTGACCTGGTCTGAGATTTGAAATGCTCCACAGAGCTGCATTGATATAATCTCTTGTTTTTAATATAAATTAAGATGAATAAGATGATTATTTTTTCCAGGAATTTTAAACAGAAAATTGATTAAATCTGTATTTAAAGAATCAACTTCAAGAAAACAAACAAACAAACAAAAGAATATAAAACCAGCTGTCATGAGGCTGTGATGTGGTTTTCCTTCTAAAAGAAAAGGTCATAAACAAGTTTGATATTCATCTCTCATAAAGAATCATAAAATCATAGAATGGCTTGCCTTGGTATGGAACTCAAGGATCATCAAGCTCCAACCCCCCTGCTGCAGGCAGGGCCACCAGCCTCCATTTGTAATACTAATAAAGTACATATCTGAAGAGAAGTCCAATCTTTACTTTCTCTAGACAAGACTATTTAACACAGATCCTCCAGGGGAGTTGATAGGAATTCTCTTTGTGCTTGCAGAAATATGGGAATACCACTTACAAACCTTACAGGAACTGATTGTTTCACCGATTTGTGGTGCTTCTCAGTTATGTTCAAATGCAACCTTTTAAATTAAAACTAGAAATATTAACCATGCTAACTGTGGTTATCTTTACAGTAAGGGTGACAGAGCACTGGAACATGCTGGCCAGAGAGGTGGTGGAGTCTCCTTCTCTGGAGATATTCAAGACCTGTCTGCACACCAAGCTGTGTGACCTATTGTAGGGTACCTGCTTTAGCAGGGGCTTGGACTCAATGATCTCTTGAGGTCCCTTCCAACCTTCCACGGTTCTGTGATCCTGTGAAGTGAGAGAGCTTCCAAAAGAAAATTCAGGAAGTACAAAGATCTCTTTCTTTTTAGGTCAACCAGAGATACACTCAGTGAATATGCAACTTGCTTTCAGCTGCTGTCTTTTGATGTACTGTAGCTAACAACATAATTTTATCAGTCTGGAAAGATTCTATTTTATGAAAAGTAAAAGAAACGTGAAAATGGTAATTATGAGGAGATTAAAGTAATGCAGTACAAGTTCAGCTCATTCAGAGCTGGATTTTTTCTTTCTTTTCTAAGTGGCTGTAGGATTATTTTCTTTTTAAAACAAACACTTTTAAAGTCCCCGATGGAGCCTCCTAAATAATGGAAGATCTCAAATATCTGTAAATAAATCTTTAAAATTGAAATAAAGCATCTCTCCATGTTGGAAGGAGTAACCCAGCCCATCTCAGATTTCACTTGCTCTTCTGAACAGTGGTGTTTTGCTGTCCTAATATCTTAAATGGCTTAATGTTCTAAGGGCGCTTACATGGGATTGTGGAGCTTTCATTCACACTGGGGACATATTCTTCAGTCACCATTCCTTTCTCAGTGTTCAGCACTAGTTTTGCCCAAAGGTCAATTTAAGGACTTCTCTAAAGCCTTACCTTTGTTTATTTTCTCACTTCACAGTACATCAAAGTAGTTCAGGAGCATTGGAAAGCATATCAAATGCAGTTGCGACTTCAAAAACTCAGAATTCAAGAGCTTAACCCAGTTTGCACACAACTAGTCAAACTTTGATTTCAAAGGATAAATACAATTACTCATGTGAGTAGGTGTTAGCAGAACTGGTCCATGCAGCACAATAAATCAACTGATGGAAAGAAGGATTTGTTTTGTAAGAACTGAGAGTGCTTGGCCTTGATACATATTGCACAAGGTGTGTTTGACAGCCTAGCCAGTTAATTTGTGTTGTAGGAGAGAAGATGGTATGGTAGGTAGTGGTAGTGCCCCCTTACACCATTCCTCACAGTAAATCAGCATCTGAAATCCCTTCCTATGTCAACACAGGTGAGCTCCTCTGTCTATTCTGAACTGGTGAGATATGAAGCAGCTCACTGTCTTGGAAACCAAAATGCCCAACTAAAAGGATTTTGGCTCAGTCACTCGGTACGCAGGAACTCAACAGTGAGTTTTAGTTGTTACTCTTAATTATTATTCCCATTTGTAATAGAGGGAATTTGAAGAAGAGAAGGTGGGGTCCTAGTGAACAGGAAATGAGCGACCTGAGTGTCACTTCAACAGCAGTTATTGAGTGCAGCTTACAGCATTTATCTAACTTAAAGACTTAACTATGTAGCTAATTGCTTAATTACAACAGAATCTATTTAATGTCCTACTTCAATAGCACAAAAGTAAGGAAAATCAACAGTATTTGCATGTATTCCAAGGAAAAAAAACTTGTTCTGTGAAAGTGCCAAAGCACCACTTCAGTGATGGGTTTTTCTCCTTCAGATCTTCATCTGTGAACCTGAAAACTTTCCCTTGCCTATAAAATGCAGTCACAAATATGCTTGGCATTAATACTAATAATATTCAGCGGCCACTGTCAGTACCATAAGGTCCAGGAGAGATTCCATTCTTACAGTTCAATATGCATTTATTTTTACCTAAATTACAGAGGAGTCAAATAGAATAGGCCACATTACCTTTTCTCCATCAACTCCTAGAATATATCTATGCCACTGAAAGATTATACTTGTTCAGAAAAGGTGTTCCAAATTTGTGACATGATTTTACTGTGCCTGACTTTAAGTCTACTTAGCCTAATTTTTTCAACCAGATCCCGAATCAGAACACCGAAAAATCTGCTGTACACTGACCCCATGCTAAGCACTCTTTGAGCTTATCTGGGAGACAGAAGAATCAGTGTAAAACAATATGGTATAATTATATTTATTTCAAGTGAGGAGGACTGAGAACACTGCATGACTTATAGCCCAGACAGCTGATACATAGGGGAATAGGAACAAACAAAGGTTGAGTAGTGAAGTAATTAGGGGTGGAATAGGGATGTTACTATATATGGATTATTGAATTATAATGATAACAATGTAGTAATGATAAAAATGAGGAAGAAAAAGAAAGAATCAAGATTAAAGGTTCTGTTGACACACAGAAAAGGTAATCCACCAGAGGGAGACAAACTGAAGAAACCATTGCACTGAAGTCACATTAATTGATTAAGTGGAAGAAAGAAGAATTGTGTAAAATTAAACACAGTAATTTATACATTTTTTATCATTAATTTACTCAGCTTTCTTACTTATCTTTCTTTCTTGCCAGTATCAGGAAATCCAGATATCTCTTTTAATTTTTAGATTTCTTGCTAATTATATTAGTTAAGCAAAGTGATTCTACTGAAAGTGTGACATCTGTAATTCACGAAGCCTATTTCTTGGTTCTGGAAGCATTTCTCATTATTAACAAGTTCATGTGAAAGATCCATCGTTTAGATTCCTACTGTTTCTTGACAGAAAGAATGTGCAGTGTAAAACAAGTTTAATTACAGAAGTATTTCAGCTTGCTTTTGTATCTCCAGCGTTTTGCAAACAATTGTTTAGCAATGTTCTGCTTCAGCAAGGTTGACCAACACATGTTTGGCTGTTGGCTGGGGTCAACCCAACACAGTCCTTTCAGACCCAGACATCTACTTTCTTCTTTATCTGATTTGAATTGTTTGTATGGCTTTTGATGCCTTTTCAATGGAGTCAACATAAACGTTCTGTGTTGCAGTTCAGTTGAATTTCCTCTTTATCCCTGCATTATCATTTACTTTTGCTTTTATGTCAGCATTTTTACTGTGTTCTGATATTATTTCTAATTACCACATTTATACTTACTTCACTCATTTAAAAGTTATTTTTTTTTTTGTAAGTAATGAAAGGAAAAGTTTTCCCTACATTCTTGTAAAGACAGTGTACTGATATTGTCCCACTTCTGCTCAAAGAAGTTTAGTAAAAGTCTGTGTTATTGTTTATAACTCTTCTACAGCACTTCTTTTTTTTTCCTCCTATAGAATTGGAAGCCCTGACGTTTTTAAGGAGTGCAAATGCTATTAGGAATAGAAACTCACCAAAACCAGCATGTGCCTCCCTCCTACACTCCTTCCTTC